TTCCAAAGCGAGCAAGGAGTAGGGCTCCAAAGAGCGCAGCGTTGTCGATGAGCCTCATCTTGTCTTGAAAGTGCTTGATGGCAGTGATGAATACCAAGAGCCTTGTCCCGACCCTCATATATAGCCATTGTTCCCCTTACTATCGTTTTCGCATTGCCACATGCTATTCTTCTCATCTCGGAGACCATCTCAAAGAAGAAGACTTAGAATATGTCTGCTTCCTCTGTAGGTTACAACGCCGACAGAGTCCACTTGAGACATTGTGCCACATGCCGATATCAATGCAAGGAATAGCCATGCACTGGGCTGGAAGCCGGCGAAAACCTCGTGCGGGAATCGATGGCCGCACGCGAGAATGACTTACTGCAGGGCAGAGTGGGCCAACCGATGAATGGGGGATTCGCCGGGTGGCCTAACGCTTGGGGGTGGACCCTCAACGACGGATTGCTCGCTAGGATTGAGCTTCATGAAACCGTGGGATTCGTCCTCAGGCGACACAGTGTGGCGCCAGGAACCGGCGGGCGTGCAGATCTTGGCGGGCATTCGTCGTCTTGGAACGTTCGGAGGGAACCTCATTTCGGCAGCCGTGCAGCGAACGAGATGTCTAGGTGCGCACTGAGCAGCTGTTATCGCTCCACGTGCTCGCCCGCCTCCAGACCTCTGCCATTGCGCCATGCTCATCATCGCCCTTTCTGTCACATATTCGAAAGTCTAAAATTATCCTCCGTTGGTCATGGATGGTGGACGTTGTCGTTCAGGTTTTACCGTGGTTTTCGGTTGGCGTTTGTGGCGTTCGCAAGCCCATGACACACCGGACCGCACCCCACATTGCGCTGCACCGGCCTGAACAAGGCAAGACCCCTTTCTGGATGACATGCCGCCATCTCTGAAGGATGCTAGGTTCCGACCGTATATGCGCCAGCACTTCTTAACAAAGTTTGCGCTATTGGAATGCCATGGTCGGGTAGGCTTCTGCAGTCGGCACTTCATACCAATGACGGCAGCCACCATGGTAGCTACGACTCGTGGGTTTCAGTCCTGGGCCTTACAAGAGACGCACTATAAACCGCACGAGGGATCCCTGCGTTCATCATATTCGAGGATCACCTTCCGTTTAGAGGCGGAAGATAAATGGTGGAACCTGTCCCGCTGTCGCTTTACTTGAGACCTCCGCGATATCCTACGCACCCGTTACAAACTCGGGGGTCCGCCCATCTGTCTTCAACATTCGGATTGTCTTGCGCAAACGTGGCGTGAGAGCATCGACATGGCCTCTTTCATTCGCACATGCATGCTGTTGTGGCTCGTTACCATCTCCATGGTACATGCAGCACAGCAGCCAGCCCTGTCAAAGCTTCCCGCATGTGCTGTAAGTACCTTGCAGCCCAACTTCTTAACATTTCGCTCACCCTTGCAGCAACTGTGCCTCTTGAACGCTTTCAGTACGAACACCTGTTCTCCAACAGATCAAGCATGTATTTGCACGAACGATGTCTTCCAAAACAACGTAACGCTGTGTGTGAGCGCCAGCTGCACCATCCCTGAAGCTCTAGGTACTTGCACCTATCCCGACGGAAGAGAAAAAGAGGCTGACGAACATGAAGTTACGCGCAACATCAGCCTGACCACCTGCGGAGCCCCGGTACGGGATCGCGGACAAAGCTATGTGCTGTTGTCAAACGTCATGGTATGCATAGCTGCAGCCTTCGTTGCGATGCGTTTCACCTTCAAGGGCACCGTGTCGAGGATGGACTTTGGCTACGACGACTGGTGCGTGCTGGCGACACTCATAGCCGCTATACCCAGTGCCGTCATCACTGTTTTTGGCACTGTGAAGAATGGACTTGGCCAAGATCTCTGGACCCTGACACCGACGGAGATCACTCAGATGCTGCAATATTTCTACATCATGGCCTGGCTCTACTTCACGCAGCTTATGCTGTTGAAACTCACGCTACTGTTCTTCTACATCCGCGTGTTCCCCAGCAAAGGCGTTCAACGACTACTATGGGGTACAATCGTCTTCACCATACTCTGGGGTGTCGCCTTCATCATCGTCGCGATATTTCAATGCCAGCCCATCCAGTACTTCTGGACAAAATGGGATGGCATGCACGAAGGTACTTGTCTCGAAATCAACGCCATCACTGCATCGAACGCGGCCATATCCATCGCCTTGGACTTCTGGATTCTGGGTGTACCTCTTTGGCAGCTTTGGGGCTTGAAGCTACACTGGAAGAAGAAGGTCGGTGTAGCGCTTATGTTCTGCGTTGGTACCTTCGTCACCGTCGTCAGCATTCTGCGTTTACAAGCCTTGGTTCACTTTGCCGCTTCCTCGAACGTGAGCTGGGAGTTTTACGACGTCTCGATGTGGAGCACGATTGAAATCTGTGTCGGCATCATGTGGTAAGTTCTATACTCGTTCTCATATATCGCATCCATTAATGTTCCTACCAGCGCCTGCCTCCCGACCCTCCGTCTTCTCCTGGTCAGACTCTTCCCCATTTTGGGCGGCTCATCGGCACGCAGCCGTCAATACTACAACTACGGCAGCAACAACGAACTCAGGAACGTCAGTCAAAAGCACAAGTCGTACAACTTGAACACGGCTATATCGAGCCCTCGTTCAGAGTCGTTCGATACGAAAGTGGAAGATGGCATCAGAGTCAAGACCTCGTATCACGTGAAGCACAGCCATAGTCAAGGAGACACAGATGAGGCTAGCTTGGTTAGCTATGAGGGAAAACGGAGGCCATAGTTTTGCATCCGATATAGTAATGATCATGAGTATTTCGCACCACCTCACGTTCCCCGCACAAACACATGCTACCTAGGTACTTTGACGACTGCGTCTGCCGGTGCTGAAACCTATTCGAGACGAACTTTACCTTCAAACAGCCACTTGCCAAACGTAACTTTCCACACGCCTGGTAACTGCCGTGATCGACAGGTGCTGAAGCACCCACCTCTCGCGATTTCGGTTGACCCATCAAAGGGTAACGCAGATCACCGGAGTATCACCGACATCCTCGTGGAAGATCACACTAGTTCCACGTGTCGGCGATCTCTGTACGCGGTTGCGACAAGGTCTAAACGACGAACGGTCGGTGGCCTTATTCATTGCACCATCTCAGTATCACGATAATTTCCATCACGGCGAGAGGTTCCGTAATTGGCGTCTCTCAGGCATCCCTTCAAGTGCTGCCGTCCCCACAACACGAATCATCCCGTATCCGCAATGATGGCAAACCCGGCCGAGCTGCGACGAGCTTTCGCGGTGGAATAAGACCGACGAGTCGTAAGTCTGCGATAGTTTGTGGTACGGCAGAGCTACGGGTCCGATGTGGGCCCGATCTCTGGGTACCTAGGTAGCCGATTGTCGGCTGTGCGCAGATGGAGGCTGTTAGCAACGAGTACTTACTGCTAGCGATGGCACTTGTCTTCTGGAAGAAAGACTAGTTGAGGAGAGGATTACTCGAATTTAGCCTGGTTCATTTTCAACGTACACCACCGTATCGGCCGACTTACCAAGTTTTGTGGCTGATGGCACGTGCCCTGGAATTACGTTGCAGTGGCTGAAGTGGCCTTGGTGATGTCGCATTCAACGAGCAAGGCGCTTGCCGACGTTGCGCTCACAATTTCGGATCGAATGAAGACTTTGCGCTGCGAAAGTTGGAAACACGAAAATGCAAACCCCGGTCTCTGGCGTACCTAGTACCGGGTAAGAATGTCGTCATCAACGTCGCAGCGGTGATTGTGCAATGCATTGCGTCTTTGAATAACGCCGAAAGTTTGCGCGCACGCATGCATGTCCTCAACCCGCACATCTAGCAATTGCGACTTGTGACGATGTGTCGGGCGATCAAATGTGATAACCTCACGCGTAGGTCTAACTCATCTGCACTACCTAGGTAAGTGTCTGGAGTAACACGTTTCACGTGTCAACCAAACTTCACAAAGCAGCTAAAGAACTTACAGGAAACTGCCGAAAGCATGTATCGCATGTCGGTATTCCAGCGAGCCTAGAAGGAAGATCTTATCGGCTCCTACTTAGTGCGGCTCCCGCTCTCACATGACCTCGGGATTAAGAAATTGACTTTAACTACTGCTCCTCGACGCAGATCTCGCGGTATACGAACGCGACACTTTAGTAAAATCCTCAACATTGAGCCCATACTACCGTTTGCGAAACCTGAAGATAGCGCTGATAACCGAACGCCAGCAGTACTGGCATATGTCTTATGGTGCAGTATACGAAGATCAACGATGATGTGGAGAGAGTGGACAGCACCAGACAACGTGCAGGAAAGAAGTGATAAGAACTCGGAAAAGGAGCAGGCTTAGGGTACGTGGAAGAAACGCCGCACCTCGAACGGGATCTTTCACCAGCCGGTAGAGAGGCTTCATCTCAGAGAGAAAACTCGCTTTCGCGATACTGATATTCTCAAAATGTTATCGCCATCGTCGCGCCAAGCTGCTGAACTTCCTCGCATGTTCCTAAATCACTGTAAACCCGCAATTCTCAGCTACGGCGTTTACTGAAAGGAAAAGAATGTTGCAAAGCTGCGCTTTAGACATCTTTGTAATAACATAACATCTACGGGGACAGTGAGCACCACAAAGACGCTCACCTCACGTTTGCGTCTAGCCGTGTGCCGCTTTAGGCAGGTCTACTCTTCTCACTTTCATCGCAAAAATTCATCTTTGCTGCTTTCTACTGCATTACCTTTCCACCATTGGTGCACAACCCACGATACGCTCTCATCCAGCAACATGGCTCCATTGCGCACGCCATCACAGGGAGAATCGTCATCTACTGCGGGTTCTTCTCTTGCTGTCCGTCATGGGGTGCAGTCCACTCGTCCAACAGCCATCGCTCACGAACTCGTATGTATATCTTACACGATCAGTCCCCATCAAAAGTTGCTCATGATGTGCAGAACAAAACCTACTCGGATATTCGCGCCACTGCCGCCGTTTACAGTGGGCATATCTCAAAGATGCAGGTCCAAATGAAAAAACTCGCAGTTGAACACAGCAAACTGTTCGAGGAGAAGGACGCAACTATCGCAGATCTAGAGCTTGGAGTCTACGAACTGAAAAGCCAGAACAAGGATCTCTCATGCAGTCTGAACAAAGAGGCCAACACTCGAAAAGTGGCGGTCGCAGGTATCGAAACTCTCACGAAACAGCATGAAATTCAAGGCAAGAAAGTCATGACGCTCAGCAGGAGGGTTGCCGAGCTCGGGAATGAGTTGGCTCAAGAGAAAGCCAAGCATACCGCAGATAAAGGCGCGAACGAGAAGTTGCGCAGCATCACCGAGAAGTGCGCCGAGATTGCAAGGCTTGTAGGGGAACACGCGTAGATGAGTTCTACTCGTGATTGGGAATGGCTGGAGGGACAAAAGCGGGATGCGAATTTCAAAACTAGATGCTGAGTGCGAAGACATGTCTTCAGAAGGACCTCGCAATCTATACAAGGTACCGTTGGTGTATAGCTTGAATTTCCAATCTCACCTTCACTTTTGCCTCCGCCATCATACCGCCATTGCAGACCCCGTCCACTCTGTTTGCAGCATCTCAACCTAACTTCTACCTTCCACTAGAGCTGCAGCCTAAACATGATCTCTTGTACCTCGTCTCCCGACAATATCGCAATCTCCCGAAGAATGTCGAATAAACCTTGGAGCGCTCGCTCTCGCATGTGCAATGGTAACGACAAGACAAAACAATCGCGGTCGCAATCCATCGTTTCGAGAGCTTTTCCCCCGTCGCAATATCCGCCCACCTACATCGACAAGCACCGTAAGTGAATGCCACAAAACATGGAAGAAGCATGCTGATAAGCTAGAAGCCGCGTTCTACAGCGCACGCTGCCGCAGCGAGATCGTCACTCACCGCGTTGATCAAAGATCTCAGAGCACAGGAGCGCGAGGTTCTCAGTCTAAGCAGCGCGCTCGATAAAGAGCGGTTGGAGCATGAGAAGCATGTTGAAGACCTAGAAACAACTCACGCGAAAAAGCTTGCGACCGTTCACGAGAATCACGATCGCCAACTTGCGCAGATCGAAGTGCGTCACAGCGAAGAGCTCACGCGCGTCAAGTTGTGGTGTGTGATGAACCAGCCAAAGCCAAACGAGTTATCGCGGGTTCTCGAAAGGCAGCGGAGGTCAACATTGGAAGCCGAAGTGGAGAAGACAAAAGAAGAGGCGAAGATGAGAGCTCTTTGGCAAGAAACTAGAATACAGGAACTGGAGCGTGAGAACGACCAAGTCAAGCATCAACTGGCAAACTTGCAAAGGGATTCACAATGGAAGAACTGGATGAAGACAATAATGTCATAATGCCTGCCCGTCCTCCCGGCGAGTGCCGACTCAAACCCCCGAAGGGGTGAGTCAAGGTCTCAAACCGGGAGGACTAAGACAAGAGTAAAAAGCTAGCTACAAGAAAGGAAACGTATACAAAACAAAGTACAACAAAAAACGATGCAGCGAATGCAGACCCATGGGTATCGTCGCGATAAACACCAAATCAAAACCAAAACCAAAGCCAACCCAGAAACTCCAATGCGCAAAACGTGATGAGAGCCAAAATAAACGCCCAGTACCCAAGATGCATCTTCCCATGCTCTCGAGTTGTCGCTGAAAAACCAAATGCGCAACACCGTGTCGTGTGGAATCGTAAATGCGGAGTCGTGTCTTTTTCTTCTTCCCCTTCTAGTCGATGGAGTATTCTAGAATTATACCGCAATGAAGGACAAGTCGTCGTAATCATCAGAGAGCATGGACAGGTGGACGAAGTCCTCCTCGGCTTGCTCCAAAGCCACCTTATGACTGTGTGCGCGCTCCTCCCAGCCTAGGCTGATGCCACTGAGTTCGATAGCCGACATCTTAGGTCGGCCAGTACCATGTGCGTTCGAGATTTGATATGTTGGGTTCTCCTCGAGCACTGGGCTTGATGGCTCAAAAACGAGGAATTCATCATCGTCATCGAGGTAAAGCCTCTCATAGCATTTCCTCCAATTTCTGTCGACATGCTTGTAGGTGTCCAGACTGATCAACGTCTGGCGCACGTTCCATTTGAATGCCCAGCTGTTTTCGCGCTTGCGCAGCCAATGGTTCTCATTGTCGAGGGCTTCGAGCATAGTCCTGAGCTTGCTGGGATGAGCGAGCGGGTCATCCTCTTCCCGAGGTTGCTCGACTGGAGCGGCAATGGTCTCCATGGCGTGTCCTGCGTCGTTTTGCGCATGCTCGTCGGCATTGGCCAGGCGCTCTCTCAAAACCTCAATCTCCATCATCTGGGATCGATTCAGAGCCTGAAGATCCATGATCTTATCATGACGTGTCGTGAGCTCTTCTTGGAGAGCCTCGAGACCTTCGGTCTTGCTGGTAGCGTCCTTGATCTTGGCCATCAAGTGCTCAATCTCCAGTTCTTTGGTGGCGATGACTTGCTCTCGCTCGTGAATTTTCAGAACGGTGGCACGATGTTCGACGGTAAGAGTTTGTAACTGGCGCACAGCCTCGTCGTCCTTCTTCCGTCCCGCCTCAACCTCCTTCGCCTTCTGAGCCCAGGGCGTAGGTCCGTGCTCGATCTCGATGGCTTTTGATAGTATGCCGGCTTGGTCGGCCCAGGAATTCAGATGGTAAGTGATGGTGTTCAGGTGGGCAAACATGAAAGCATAATTCTGATCGACATCGAGATTATCGATGTTGTCTTTGATCGCGCGGAGCTCAAGAGCAGGGACTGGCTCGGTGTCGGATAGGCTGGTGCACTTGGCAACCTCCTCGATCAGGCTGCGAACGAAAGCGGCGAGGGTTCCAGCAGCCGATGCCAGCTTTTCGTCATATCTGAAAGCGTCCTCGAAATCCTGTGGTCGTTCGGGATACATATGATCCTGAACCAGAGCCTTCAGAGTCCGCTGCAACCTGGCCGCAGCCGTGGATGTAGCCTGCAAAGTATCTACTGGCTCGTTGAAATGAATGAGCATCTTTGCGCACTCTTCGCGTATGCTCTCAGGCACTTTCTCTAGGACGAAGTGTGCCAGATCGTAGATGTAAAGGATATAGTTAATCCTCGCGTGGAGCGAAGTCGCTATGGAGAGGAATTCTCCCTCTGGTCGTGCAGCAAGGACCTCCTGGTGGCTTGACAGAATTGCTTCATGTGTCTTGGTCGATCGCTCCAGGGACCCAGCAAATTCTTCAAAGTTGAGCGTGTCTGCTTTGAGAGCGTTGAGGCCTTGATCAAGAACCTGCTCTACCGAGATCAATTCTTGGTACGTCGGGCCAAAATTGGCGAATTCGGGAAGTGATAAGCCACGAATGGCAGACCAAAGACGGTTGCTTCCGTCTTTGAGAACCTCCAGGTGAACAATGGACTCTTCACAGACGAGTCTGGAGACGGCATCGTCCAATCGACCGCCATTGCTCATGTGACGACAGGTGCTCCTCAACACATTGACAAGCAGCTTGGATTTCCCAGCGATCCTTTCTGTTGCGAGGTAGGCTTGGAGAGACTCGCTTCGAGTGAACTCCTTGGACTCTGTCTCGTTCCAAATCTCGAGCTTTTCAGCAAGCTGATCTGCCTTGAGCGATACCAGCGAAGATTCGATCTCTCGTGTGGTCGACAACACAGTGGCTGCACGAAGTTGGCGGTTAAGGTCCATCACTTCGTTGAAGCGACCGGTGGTATCCTTAACTTGGGCTTCCGTCATAGTCTTGGAAGACTCAGCGTCGGCCATCTTGGTTTGTAGGTCCATGACGAGGTCTCGGAATTTGGAGATCAAAGACTCTTGGTCGGCGATGATATTGGTCTGTTCGGTAATCTGGCGTACTTGCTCAGCGAGCTCGTTGTTCTTAGCGTCAAGCTCTGCAAGCATGTCCTCTTCTTGCTCAAGGTGTTGAGCTTCTAGCTCGTCGTTGAGTTCCCGTAGGTTCTCAAGATCTTGCACGACCAGATCCTGCTCCGCGATTCTATCTTGGAGATTCTGGTTTTGTTGGGTCAACTCCTCGACCATCTCCTCCCATTCATTGGCGGCGTCCAACTGTTGCTTGAGGTGGTCCACAAGGTTTTCGGATACAGAGAGACGTTCTTGTAGATTGGCGTTGTCTTGCCGGTAGTACTCAAGCTGTGCGACGTCGCCCTCGAGCCCGAGAATGTGTGCCTTGAAGTCTTGTTCCCGCTCCTCTGTCATCTCCTTCAGAGTGATCAACGCCTGTCGCATGCGATCATTCTCGTGCTGGAGACGGTAGTATCCAGCCTCTTGCTTCTGATCCTCTGACATTTCTGTTGTGAAGAGGTCGGCCTCATCGCGAAGAATGTCTAGCTCCAGCGTCTGCTCTTCCAGGCGCTTGCGCAACGACTCGATCTCTGCCTCGGCTTGATCCGCCCTCTCCTCGGCCATCTCCTTGTCCACCAAGGCATCCTCTAAGTCCACCTCGTGGTCCTGGTGTGATCTGTTGAGAGCCTGTTGTTCCAATTGAAGTGTGTTGACACGGTCTTTTAATTCCTGAATCTCGGTATATTGAGCTTGACACTTGTTCTGGAGCCGCTGGATGATGCCGCTGTAGCGCTCTTTCTCGTCGCGAACCTGAGCATACTCTCTCAGGCGCTCTTGGTCTTCCGCGTGTTGCTTCTCGAGATGCCTAATCTTGGTGTGCAGATTGTCGACGTTGTTATCCCGACTTGCTTTGCCAGCATTGCTTGTGACTGAAGATGCAAGACTCGGTCTTGAGGTTGATGGTGTAGGACGAGAGGGTTCGGGACGAGAAGATTCTGGGCGGGAGGATTCGGGTCGAGAGAATGGGGCGCGAGATGATTCAGCGGCAGAGTTGCTTGACGTGCTCGCCACGCTGGCCTTGCGGACTGGGCCACGCGAAGGCGGTTGTGATGTTGAGGGAGCTGCGACTGACTGCCGCTTGCTCAATGTGGTTGTCCTTGTAGTGGTTGTAGGCTTAGGGGCAACCACGCTTGATGGGCGGGCTCTGGGTGTGGTGGGTGGTGCCTTTGTTTTGGAGACCGCTCGTGGAGTAGGAGGAGCCGGTGCGGGGGCTGCCTCAGAGAGGATGCTGACAATGCTAGTGTCGCGGATGAACAGCCCGTGGAGAGGTGCGCAAGTGAAGTAACGCTCTCCGCGTACGGAGCCATCGTTCTTGCCATCAGCAGTTGGGAGTTCTATTCCCACAAATCGCCCCTCTGAGACGTGAATGGGGCCTAGGTAGCGGACGATGCCGTCTACACCGCCAGAAGTCTCGACCGTCTGGCCGAGCTTGAGATTGAGGGTAGTCATGGCTACTGGAGACTACCCAGGAGCAATGCTGAGAGTGTGGAGAGAAGCAGTGGCAGACAGCGTGGTGACTGAGTGCAGTGTGGTTACCTGACGCGACGCGTCGAGAAGCAGCTGCGCGTGAGGGGGAGAGCAATTGCGAACAATTGACTCAGCTGAAGTGTGAAGAGTGCAGAGCAGAAGAAGAAGCAGATACGCAACAATGCAGTAGCAGCGGCTTGAGAGTGTTGTGGTTGTGGAAAGTGGCATGGGGCAGCTGCAGAAAGTGTGGTGTACAGGTGAGAAGGGAGGAGCGAGGTGGCCGGCTTTTACGTGAGGGCTGGCTTGGCGCGGCGATGGCTCGGATCAAAGCGCTAAACCTCGGACGCGTCTCGGACGAGCTGCTGTTCGCGCTAATGGACCCTGACCCACGGGAGCACCCGACGCTAGCCCATCTGAGCGCGTTTGAGCGCGCTCAACCGCGACTTTCGTTTTAACATGACGCCCATGAGGCCACTTTCGCCCTTTCCCAGCCACCCTATACACAGATGGGGTAAGCCTTGAGGCAGTTTCCTGCCGGACATCCGCAACCACGCCACTCGACGCGTCTGAGTTTTGCTACCGCGTACATTCCGTGTCACGACTCTTGCGATGTTTATTATATAACAATGTTGTCTATGGGAGTTGTTCCTTTCTCATTTGATGTTCCGCTATGATTATACCGCCACCTGTTTACTGTTGTTTCTGAGTATTCTTGCGCGTCGTGCGCCCACATGTGCAAGATGCCTTCTACACCTGCGCGCTGCATCACTCTCAAGCTACTGCTGCCGCCTTTTGCCTCAACATCGCAGATGCAAAGCCCTTAGTATCGTGCATATCACCGCCAACTATTTGCATATAGATGCATCCGTGCCTAATCAGCGTTAGATGTGTGTATGCATTATCTTGTGGTATATCACGTGGTGAGCTTACGAAGCTATGCCCTCTCGTTGCAGTGCGCGATGTCATACATTCCATGCAAGATATGACACAACTACGCATAGATCTGCGGCTACTACATGCCAACGCCCATCAAACCTGTCC